GCCGTCGTCGTCCTCCCTCCTTCCTCGTTGTCTTCGTTGGCGACGTCGTCGTCGTCTTCGTCGTCGTCGGCGTCGGCGTCGTTGTCGTCTTCGTCGTCGTCGACGTCGGCGTCGTCGTCGTCGCCGCCGTCGTCGGCGTCGTCGCCGCCGTCGTCGTCGTCGTCGTCGTCGTCGCCGTCGACGTTGACGTCGTCGTCGTCGTCAGTGTCGTCGTTATCGTCGTCGTCGGCGTCGTCATCGTCGTCGTCGTTGTTATCGTCGTCGTCGTCGTCGGCGTAGGTGTCGTCGTCGTCGTCGTCGTCGTCGTCGTCGTCGTCGGTGTCGTCGTCGTCGTCGTCGTTGTCGGCGTCGTCGAAGTCGTTGGAGACGTCGTCGGTGTCGTCGTAGTCGTTGTCGGTGGCGTCGTCGTCGTCGTTGTCGCTGTCGTCGTCGGCGTCGCTGTTGTTGCCAAGTGCCATGTGGTACCCACCGTCACGGTCTTAAGAGATTTTGCAAACCAAGTTGCGGGTGGGTGGGTGGGATGTTTGCGCGAGCAGTGGAGTCGACAACTCATTGCGAACAGAAATCGATTGCACCCCATAGTTTGCACCACGCATATTGCGCCCCATCCATTGCACACCATCTGATGCACCACGCTATTGCAACACATCGGTCGCACAACATATATTGCATCACATCTACTGCAACACGTAGATCGCGCTCTACATCAACAGCCGGCGCTCCATCATCGCCAGGGGAGGCTTCTTCGAGGGCTTCCCATTCACATCCGGAGTTCGCCAAGGTTGTCCGTTGCTACTTGTGCTGTTCGCTGTGTTATTTGACGTCCTTCTGCGGCGATTCCCGCGTCTTTTTCCGTCGGCTACTCTTCGCGCGTTCAACTACTTGGCGGTTGTTCTTCCCCAGGGAATTGACGGCGCGGTTCGGGATGGGGGGCGGTAGGTTTTGGGTGGGCCTCTCAGGGGCTCTGGAGGGCTCTCGAGGGCTGTCTTCGGGCCACCTATGGGGCCATCTCTGGGGCCTCTTAGGAGCTGCCCATGGGGCCCACGGGCAGCTTCCTGCTGGGCCATCCCCGGGCCTCTTGGAACAGGAATATGGTCAAAAAGCCTTCGAACCGTGGGCCATCTCTGGGCCTGCCACCGCTTGATCCCCGCTCTCGAGCCCTCTCGTGACGGAAGGCCGGAGGCCTGGGGTGGAAGCAAGCGGCGGGCAGTGGCGGGAGGGGTCAGGGGAGGGGGGGGGCTCATGTTGTCGGCCTCTTCTTCCCTCGCCCTCTCCTCCCTCCTCCTCCTCCTCCTCCTCCTCCTCCTCCTCCTCCTCCTCCTTCCGCTCGTCGGCCTCGCTCTCCTAGTCCTCCTGCTCTCCTCCACCCCCATTTCCCCTCTTTCACAGTACAGTACAGCGACTGACGATCTGAAGCTTGTGACGCCGACAGCTCTTGTTCTGCAGGCTCGCCGTATGGGCTTTCTGTGGCCACGCCGCCTTGTTATCCTCGTCCTCGTCCTCGTCCTCGTCGGCGTCCTCGCCGTCGCCGCCACCGCCGCCGTCGTCGTCGTGTCGTCGTCGTCGTCGTCGGCGTCGTCGTCGTCGTCATTCTTCTCGTCGTCGTGCTTCTCGTCGTCGGCGTTGTCGTGGTCGTCGTCGTGGTCGTCGTCCTTCTCGTCGTGGTCGTCGTCGTGATCGTGATCGTGCTTGTCGTCGTCGTCGTCGACGTCGACGTCGTCGTCGTCTTCTTTGTCGTCGTCTTCTTCTTCTTTGTCGTCGTCGTCGCCTTTCGTTGTCGTCGTCGCCGCCGTCGTGGTAGTCGTCATCGTCGTCTACGTCCTTTTCGTCGCCGTCGTCGTCGTCGTCGTCGCTGTCTTTGTCGTCGTGGTCGTCTTGGTCGTCGTAGTCGTCGTCTTCCTTCTCGTCGTCGTCGTTGTCGTCGTCTTTCGTCGTCGCCGCCGTCGTCGTCGTTGTCGTCGTCGTCTTCCTTCTCGTCGTCGTCGTCTTTCGTCGTCGTCGTCGCCGTCGTCGTCGTCGTTGTCGTCGTCGTCTTTATCGTAGTTGCGGTCGTCGTCGTCTTCGTCGTCGTCGTCGTCGCCCTGGCCGTGGCGGCGGCGCGCGGCCGCAGAGGCCTCCGCCGGGGCGAGGACGTGCCCGACGAGGCGCGCCCCGTGCGGGCCGCCGCCCCTCCCGATCGGCTCCGTTCTGCCAGCGCTGCACCGCGGCCTGCCGCCGCCAGCCGTCGCCGTCGCCGCCGGCCGGCGCCGCGCGCCGCGGAGGAGGAGGAGGAGGAGGAGGAGGAGGAGGAGGAGGAAGAGGAGGGGGAGGGGGAGGGGGAGGGGGAGGGGGAGGAGGAGGCGGAGGAGGAGGAGGAGGGCGAGGGCGAGGGCGAGGAGGAGGAGGAGGACCAGCGTAAACGCAAGACTCATCAGCGATGTTGGGATACACCCTCCCTCCAGGCTCCCTCTCCATAGGCCCCATACGAGGATGCATTTCCACTGAGGGACGTGCTCCGTTTGGGGCAAACCGTGTGAAAATCCTGAGGCGTGCCAGAACACCATTCTTAGGACTTCACCGCTGCGAGTCATGGACGCGACCCGCCCTCAAGCCGTGAAACTCTTGCAAGTGTTGAAAACGAATGTGCGCGGCGCGAAGGCGAGAGCCACATTTTGGAAGCGACCCGCCCTCCATTAGTGAAGCTGTTGCCAGTTCTGAACCCTCAGGCCCAAAAGTGGTAAGGAAGTCTCAGGCGAAACGCCCGGCCCGCCCATCTGACCATCCTCTTGATACGACCTCGGAAGCGGCCACGAGGGGGGTGAGGACTAGGGGTGTGTGCGTATCATGCTTCAGTTCATGATTCATTTCGAAACTAAACAGCCAGAACGTTTGTTTGCACCCGATGTGTAAGATCGCTGTGCCCGCGCAGTCGGCAGGCACATTTCACCAGTGGCGCAATGCGAACTTGTCGCGTTGCAAATGTTCGTTGTCACTGCGTTCCGTTGCACCGTGGCTCTGAGCGCCCCGTGTCTCGCGGCTCCATGGTCCCGTCGCGGCCCGTGGTTTCTCTGCATTTTTGCCCGTGACCTCAATGGCCGCGTGTCCCCGCGATGCCGCGGCTCGTGGCGCCGCGGCGCATTTGCGACACAGCCGATCGCGAAGACCTTGCGGTGCCAAATTGTGGCGCTCAATCCGCTCGTTGGCCTCGAGTTCCGAGAGAACACATGGCGCTGGCCATGATATTCCCATAGAACGCATGGCACGGACGCGAGATTGCCAAGATCATATGGCCACGGCCATGAGTTCCGAAAGAACGCATGACAGTGGCCATGACATCCCCAAGAACCGAATGGCGCGGACACGAGTTTGCCGGGAACACATGGCAACGACCATGGGTTCCCAGAGAACACATGACACTGGCCATGAAATTCCCAGAAACCACACGACACGGACGCGAGTTTGCCGGGAACACCTTGCACTGGCCAGGAGTTCCGCGAGAACGCATGCCAAGGATCACGAAATCCCCATTTGCACTCCAGGGTCACAATCAAAAACAATATCAGAATCCCTATGGGATTTGCGTAGGCGTGAGTTCTGCGAAAACACATGGCCGGGTCACGCGGTTCACCGACGCACATGCGCACTTTTCTGATTCACCTCCGTCCCCGCCCCCATCCCGCCTTCCCCGCCTGCCTCCCCCCCTCCTGTCGCTCCACCCCCCTCCGGGGCTGCCTCCTCGTTCCCGTGGCCCTCGGGGCGCTGCGCGGCCCATGGCGCGCGGCCCGTTGCTCATGGCCCCGTGGCCCGCGGCCCATGGACCGTGGCCTGGGCCCCGTGCCCCGTTGCTCCGTGGCCGCGGTCCCTGGCCCGTGCCCTGTCGCCAGTGCCTGGGCCGTTGAGTCCAGTATCGGGGGAGCGCAAGACCCGGGTTTGCCAGGACTCGGGTTGGCCATCGTTTTTTGACGAGCTCGTTCTGGATTTTGACGAGTGGGAGTTTCGTGGGATGTTTGCAGCGGGAGCTCGCGTCAAATTCCAGATAGGGGCTTGTCATTTTCAGTATGGCCCCGTCAGGCCAACCCGAGTCCCCCGTACCCGAGTCTTACGTCTCCCCGACAGTAGGTGCCGGACGGCAGGTATCTGGTAACGCGCGTCGTCATGGCTACGAAATTCTCGGAATCTGAGGGCCCTGGGGGCTGCGAAGACGCGGTTGGGTCGGCAGGATGGCACGTCCAACAACGCTTTGTTGGTCGACCTATGCGCGCGCGTTTTGAATTCTGTTCGTAGCGACTGGCCTCTGGTTGTGTTGCGATTGGCGTGCAGTCGCGTTGCTTGCGACTGGGCCGCAATCTGGCTGGCTGGCTTTGGTTCTGAACCGATGGTTCTGGCGGTCGAGTCAGCGGGCTTCTATGATATCCGATTGCGTTCGCGCGTGCGTAGCCCTGCGAGTTGTGCGCAGCACCTGCCTCGAGCCATAATGCCTTCCCCCTCTTCGTACCTCCCTCTTTTTCGCTCCCGACGACAGGGAGGAGTTATCCAGAAGGAAAAATAATGAAGGAGCAGGAGGATGAGGAGGAGGAGGAGGAGGAGGAGAGGAGGAGGAGGAGGAGGAGCCGAGGAGGAGGAGGAGGAGGAGGAGGAGGAGGGGGATAAGGATGATGATGATGAGGAGGAGGAGAAGGAGGAGGAGGAGGGGGAGGAGGAGGAGTAAGAGGAGGAGGATGAGGAGGAGTAAGAGGAGGAGGAGGAGGAGGAGGAGGAGGAGGAGGAAGAAGACGAAGAAGAAGAAGAGGAGTATAACGAGGGGGGAGAAGGTAGAGGACAATGAGAAAGCGTGGGGTGCATGCGGGGGGGGCCCAGGGTGTGAGGGGATGTGGGGAGGGCGAGGGGGAAGGAGCGGGAGGACGGGGACGACGGGGACGACGCCGACGACTCGTCGTCTCTCTTGCGGCGCCGCCCGCCCCTCAAGCGCCGCCCCGCCCCCACGAGCCCCAGGCTCTCCGCGCTCGCCGCGCCGCGCCCCCCCCCCCCTCGCGCGTGCGCGAGCCCGCGCCGCCGCTGGGCGCGCCCGCGCCGCGGCGCCTCCTCTGGGCCCGCGGGGGCTGCCGCGAGGAGGCCGCCGCGCGTGGAGGGGGGCGAGGAGGAGGAGGAGGAGGAGGAGGAGGAGGAGGAGGAGGAGGAGGAGGAGGGGGAGTCGGAGAAGGAGGAGGAAGACAAGCTAGGTGCGCTCGCGCCATATCTGACGTCCTACCCCTCCCTCACATCCCTTACCATGGCGCTGATTTTCTCTATCCGCGGACGCGTGTCGTAGCGGACCTGTGGCTCCGCGCGCGCGAGCGTAGTGGGTGGTGGTGCGCGTGCGTGCGTGCGTGCGTGTGTGCGTGGTTGTGGTGGTGGTGGTGGTGGTGGTGGTGGTGGTGGTGGTGCTGGTGGTGGTGGTGTTGGTGGTGGTTGTGGTGGTGGTGGTGGTGGTGGTGGTGGTGGTGGTGGTGGTGGTGGTGGTGGCGGTGCGGCGCGGTGGTGGCGGGCGGATGGGCGCGCGAGAAAGAGGCCCGCGCTGGGGCGAGAACGCCATCCTGAACGACGGAGGCCAAACACCGATCCGAAAATGAGGCCCACGCTGCAGCGGGAGCACGATTCGGAACGATTCGGGAGCAGAAATGAGGCCGGCGCCTCAGCGAGAGCAGCATTTTGAAAAAAACGCAGGCGAAAACCCAACTCCCGGGAATCCTGTGTGTAAAAAACAGTACGCGGGGGGGGGGTCGGCTACTTTCAGGCCGCCATCGGGGAAAGAGGGAGAGTAGTATTCATATTGAGTAATTGTGAAGGGGAGGGGGAGGGGGAGGGGGAGTCGGAGGAGGAGGAGGAGGAGGAGGCGAAGGAGGGTGAGGATGATGATGATGATGATGATGATGATGTGATGATGAGGAGGAGGAGGAGGAGGAGGAGGAGGAGGAGGAGGAGGAGAGAGGAGGAGGAGGAGGAGGAGGAGTGAGAGGAGGAGGAGGAGGAGGAGGAGGAGGAGGAGGAGAGGAGGAGGAGGAGGAGGAGGAGGAGGAGGAGGAGGAGGAGAGGGAGGAGGAGGAGGAGTTGGCCAAGGTTGTGGACGAGGACGAGGACGCGGATGATGATGATGATGAGGAGGAGGAGGAGGCCGAGGAGGAGGCCGAGGAGGAGGAGGAGGAGGAGGCCAAGGGCGAGGACGAGTCAAGACGAGGACGAGGAGGAGGAGGACGAGGAGGAGGAGGAGGAGGAGGAGGAGGAGGAGGAGGAGGAGGAGGAGGAGGGGGAGCAGGAGGAGGAGGAGGTGGAGGAGGGGGAGAGGGAGGAGGAGAAGGACGAGGAGGAGGAGGAGGAGGAGGAGGAGGAAGAGGAGGAGCTGGAGAAGGATGGACGCTGGGGGCGTCGCGTCGCGGGGGGCCCAGCGGGTACGGAAAGGCCTCGATCTGAGCGGGTGGTCGAGCTGCTCCGCACTGGGAGGGGGGTGGAGGAAGAGGGGCGCGAGCGGCAGGCAGCAGGAGAGAGTGCGCGGGGAGAACATCACGGAGAGGAAGAGGAGGGATCAACATTCAGCCGTGCTTAGCCGTGCTTAGCCGCGCGCTCCACCATTTCACCCGCTGGGTTCCACCCCGTCCCAGTTTGCGGGAAAGGCACTTGGCGGTTCGGGTCCGATGCTGCGGTCGCCGAAAAGAGAAAACAAAAACACGTCCTGCGGAGAGGAATGAGAGAGCCGATGGGGGGGCGTCGTGGGCGAAAAACATATTCGTAGCCGCGGCCTCGCAGGCCAGGCCCAGGGACCCTGCGGATGCGGAGTGCTTTTTGTTCATGGATGCCCCGCGCGGAACGCCCCGGAAGTCAGACCGCGAGATCGTGGAAAGATGCGTGCGCCGCCTGTGCGGACCAACAGACAACCCACGCACCCATCCCCCCAGGGGGGCGGAGGTTCTCTGGGGGGGGCCTGCTGAGAGAGGGGCCTCCCCGCTCGAGCGGGCGCCTCTTCTGGGGTCCGACCGCCCGCACCCATCCCCACAGCCAGCCCTCTTCCCTCCGACGCCCTCTGCGGGCAGGTGTGCGCGCGCTGTTCGCTCGCCGCTCGTGGGGGGCGCGGGGCCGCGCGCGAGCGAGCGGCCCCTCGCCGCGCTGCAGGGCATCTCGGCCGCCGCGGCCTCCGCGGGCCGCGCCCTGCCCCGCGACCTCGCCTCGCCGCCCCCCCCGCGGCGGCCAGGCACGCTGGCGCGGCGTGGCGCTCGGGCCTCGGTCGCCTCGGCCTCGGCCTCGGCCTCGGCCTCGGCCTCGGGCGCCTCGGCCGCCTCGGCCTCGGCCTCGGCCTCGAGCGCCTCGGCCTCGGGCGCCTCGGCCTCGGCCTCGGGCTCGACCGCGCTTCGCGGCGGCACGCTCGCGCCGCCCTTCCCTTTTTGTCTCCCGGCGGCAGCGTCCCGAGCCTGCCCGGGCCTGCCCGCCCCTCCGAGCGGAGCGGCACGCCATGGCCGCTCGCAGGGCTCCGCGTGTCGCCGGGGCCGCCGCCGCGACGCGCTCGGCACGAGCTCCCGCCAGCACGCTGCATCCTCAGGGGCCTCGTCTGCCCCGCAGATGGCGGCTCCTTGCACCCGGCGCGGATTCGACGCGAGTTCGACGTGGACTCGACGCGGGCTCGACGCAGAGTCGGCATGCGTTCGACGCGGATCCGAATCGGACCTCTGGCGCGATGGGACAGGCGCGGTACCCCGAGGAGGCACCAGAGTGCACCCCTCCACCCCTCGCCGCGCCCTCTCCAGGGGGGCTTGGCGTGGAACTTCGTGGGGCCCCGCTGTGGGATAGCACTGCTTACCAGCAAGGAACATATCCCTATCCCTATGCTGGGCACCTCCTCATCACGATGCCAACATTAGGGATTCCCTTATTTTTGAGGGCGAATCCCTAAGATTGTCATCGCCTTTTGGCGTGTCAACCTCAGGGATAGGGATACGTTCGAGGCTGGTAAATTGCAGCCTGTTCTTGCGAAGCGCGAGCCCTGGTGCCTGCGCTCTGCTCTCACGAAGCAGGCCCCTGTTGCATGCGGCCTGTTCCTCACCATCCGAGCTCTTTCCCGGAGACTCGTGCCGGAAGCGGGCTAATTACCACTCCGAAGCCGATGCCGATGCCTCCACCCTCGCCCCTCGACGCGCACGCTCGGGCTCCGCCCCGGCATGAGTTTCCTCACCCCCTCCCGGTCGCCTGCCCTGCCTATGCCCCCCTCCCCCCTCCCCCCCCTCGTTGCAGACGGGGCGCTCTCCGGGTGCCAAGCTGGCCTTCCTCGCCCTCTGGAGTCCCACAAACGGTGCGGTGACAGGCCGTGCGGTGACCTCTCGAAGTCCCCCAAGACCTCACCGCACGCTCCGTCAGTGCACGGTTTGGGGACCTCGGCTGCCCCGGCCGCCCGAGGCGTCCTCGGACAACGGCCCGAGTCCCAAAACCGTGCGGTGGCCCCGAATCCCCACCAGCTCACCACGGTGTGGCCACCACCAGGTTTCGGGGCCCCCGACCTCCGCGATTGTCTCCGTGAGCCGGGCTCGGGGAGGCCCGCCTGGAGGCCTCGGGCGACCTGGAAGTGGCCAAGCGCGTTTAAGAAAATTGACCACCCTTCGCCCTCCTCCTCCTCCTCCTCCTCCTCCTCCTCCTCCTCGCACCTCCTCCTCCTCCTCCTCCTCCTCCTCCTCCTCCTCGCACCTCCTCTTCCTTCTGGGGCTTCGGTCCGGGTCGTCAGCGACGCCCACTTCCACTTCCCCATCGTCGACGAGGGCCTCATCCGCATCATCCGGCGCTCGTCAGCGACCCCATCTTCATCGACCACCTCACGAGCCCGCTTGTTGCCGGCAGCCCGCCGGCAACGCTCGGGAGCAGGCATGCGCTCACGACCACGTGCGCTCCTCCTCCTCCTCGAGCTCGGAGCATGTCCGCCGCCGCGGCCTCGCCGTCCGGGCTCCTCGGGCGTGACCCCCTGCGGATCCGGAGCAGTGTCTGCGCGGCTGCCCTCTCGCGGAGCGTCTCCACGGACTCGCGCACCGCGGGGGCTCGCGCCTCGGTGCCCCGAGCGCGGGCACGCCTACATCGATGCGCTCATCGCTCGAGACACCTCCCAGGAGGGGACAAAAACACACAGTGCCAATTAATCGGCGATCCCCAGGAAAAGACGGGAAAATATGGGAAGTGGGGGGGACGACAGAAACCCAGAAAATATGGAAGAATATGGGGAATCCTTTCATTTGTGTGTATTTATTTGTGTGTCCCAGTTTCCCTTCAACCTCCCTGTCTGTCCCCCGGACCTCCGACGCCGTGGATCTCCGGGACCAGTGGCCCCCGGCCACGGCAGGGCCGTTTTGTCACCGTTTCCGAAAAGGGTAGCTCTTGAAAGTGGAAGCGGCCGACAAAAAGCTGGCGAGCGGAAACCGCGAAAAAACGGCTCCAGCATGGGAACCCAAGCCAGAGTCGGTGAAACAAAGGCGACGGAACTGGTAAACAAACAGCCTCGGAACTGGGACAAAAGTCGCACAAACTGAACCGGTAACAAAAACGGCTCTGTCCTTGCCAGGGCCCACTGGGTCCGGGGTGTCATACCCCGACCCCTTCCCGGGGTCCGTGCGTTCATCCCGAGTAGGTTTTTTCGATGTCTGTTCATGGGAGCCTTGGGCGGCGACATTGGAATCCGCTTTTCCTGCATTTGGACCGCGTGGGGACCGCATTTGGCCCATCCTCCCGCTCCTCCTCTCCCCTCCTGTTCCCCCTCTTCCTCCTCGTTCTTCTAGCCCCCGCGAATCCGCTCCAACTCGGGTCCAACTCTGGTCCGAATTTGTTCCACGTCCGGCCCAAATCAGGCCCACGTCGGGCAGCGCCGGGGGCCACGCGGGCTCCCACGGAGCGGGCGCCAGAGGTGTTTGGACCGTTCCATGGGCCCAGGGGAGGCCTCCCAGAGGCAGCGAGGGCGTGCCGACCCTCCGCGCCCTCCGTCGTGCTGGTGTCAACCCGACGCGGGGCGGAGGAGGAGGAGGAGGAGGAGGGAGGAGGAGGAGGAGGAGGAGGAGGAGGGGGGGGAGGAGGAGGAGGAGGAGGAGGAGGAGGAGGAGGAGGAGGAGGAGGAGGAGGAGGAGGGAGGAGGAGGGAGGAGGAGGAGGAGGAGGAGGAGGAGGAGGAAGGAGGAGGAGGAGGGGAGGAGGAGGGGGAGGAGGAGGGGGAGGAGGAGGAGGAGGAGGAGGAGGAGGAGGAGGAGGAGGAGCTCCGGGGCCCTCCCCCGCCGCCGCTCCCTCTCCGCCCCAGTGGCGCCCTTCCGCAGCAAAGCGTGGCGGGGGAGGCCGCGATGGCCGCAGGCGGGCAGGGCATGTTCGGCGAGGCCCACGGCTTCCTCCGCAGCATGGCGGAGGAGGTGGCCGAGCGATATCCCGCAAGACGATGACGATGATGACGATGGCGACGATGATGATGATGATGATGATGATGATGATGATGATGATGATGATGATGATGATGATGATGATGATGATGATGATGATGATGATGATGATGATGTTGATGATCATGATGATGATGATGATGATGATGATGATGATGATGATGATGATGATGATGACGATGATGATGATGATGATGATGATACTGATGACGACGATGATGATAATGCTGATGATGATAATGATAGTGGTGTTGATAATAACGATGACGATGACGATAACTGACAGTGACAATACTAATAATGCTCATGATAGCGATAGTTATAATGATGATGATGCTGATGATGATGATTATGAGGATGGTGGTGATGATGATGATGATGATGAGGATGAGGATGAGGATGATGATGATGATGCTGATGATGGTGATGGTGATGATTATGATGATGCTGCTGCTGATGATGATGTCGACGATGCTGATGCTGATGCTGATCATGCTGATGATGATGATGATGATGATGATGATGATGATGATGATGATGATGATGCTGATGATGATGATGATGATGATGATGATGATGATGATGATGATGATGATGGTGATGGTGATGGTGATGATGGTGCTGATGATGGTGATGATGATGCTGATGATCGTTATGATGATGCTGGTGATGATGAGGAGGAGGAGGAAGAGGAGGAGGAGGAGGAGGTGGATGACGACGACGAGGAGAGGGAAACGGAGGAGAAGGAGGAGGAGAAGGAGGGGAGGAGGAGGACCCCAGCCTTCTCGCGCCCTGAAAGACTCACGTCAGGAGATTGTTGGTAGTTTCGGGGCTCCATGGGTCCTCGCCAGGCCGCGGAAGCGTCAACAAAACGACCCTGGGTGAAAGTTTGGCCTTGGGGAAGTGCCCCAGACCTCCTTGTTCCCATGTTGCGAAATAGTCGCGACGTCGGAGGTTTGAGGAGGAGGAAGGGGAGGAGGAGGAGGAGGAGGAGGAGGAGGAGGAGGAGGAGGAGGAGGAGGAGAGGGAGGGAGGAGAGGGTATCGAGGATGTTGACTTTCGAATGCTTCCAGCTCCTTTTGACCCCTCGGGCCTCTTGGGGGGGAAGGGGTAGGGGGAGGACCAGAGTGAAACCAACATGCATCAGCAATGCTGCAATACACCCTCCAGTCCCCTCCTCCTCCTCCTCCCCCTCCTCCTCCTCCTCCTCCTCCTCCTCCTCCTCCTCCTCCTCCTCCTCCCCCAACAGTCCCAAGTCCCCTCGCCACACGTCCCCACAAACTTTCTCTCTCACTGCAGGACGCGCCCTCTGAAAAGACCAGCGCCGTGTGCCATGCCGCGCAGGAGCCGCCTTTTGCATCCTCATGCTGCGTACTCAGGAAAGCGAAGCTCTGATCATACAGGTCAGCAAGATGTCCCACGAGATCTCTTTTCCGAGCAGCCCCCCATCCGTGTAATTGTTGCACACGATTGTACATGTGGTCATGAGCTTCGAGGAGGTTTCAGGCGGGGGCTGGAATTCGAAGGGGCCGCCCTCGAGAAGTGCAGTGCTACATGTGTTGAGGCTTCGTTTTTTAAATGTTAGGGAAGTCGCAAGCGGGAGTCCCATTTGAAAGACAGCTTTTCAACACGAATCCTTCTAACTATTGCATCCTTCTAACTAATGCAAGCGAAATGAGTACGATCGGCGGTAGAGCGATATCCCCATTTTGAAAAATGCGCGCCGTCATGCTATCTGCGACGAGTGCGCGTGGCGCCAAGGCGAGGGCCCGATTTTGAAAATGAGTTGCTCTTCGTCTAGCTGTTTCAACCTTTCAAGACGAATGTGGGTGGCGCTAAGCCGAGCGCTCGATGTTGAAAATGTCCGCTAAGCCGAGCGCTCGATTTTGAAGCTGTTGCACTCTTTCAAAACGAATGTGTGTCGCTCTAAGGGGAGAACCTCATTTTGAAAGCCTCTCCCTTCCATCCCTGCTGCTGCTGCTGCAACATCTGAAACGAATGTGCGCGGCGCTAAGGAGAGAGTCACATCTTGAACCGGAGCGGGCTGGCTTCGGATGAGGATAATTAGGTCGTCCCCGAGCTTTCCGGAACGCTCCCAGAGATTCTGGAGGGCTCGGGGACGGCTGCGGCACCCGAGAACATCTTGCAGACCCGCCGTCTGTTCAGTATTCCCGATTCACAGTCAGGCATTTTTGCTTAGCGTGGCGCTGCGTCGCTTCTGCCCCTACCACGCTTCGGCGAGACAAGCTGACCGCGCCCACATGTCCGAGCGTCAACGGCCCGAGGCCTTCCCAGCGCCCCGCCTTGCGAAGCGGAGCGGCACTCTACCAGCTCGCATGGCACAGCGTGCCGCCAGGGCCGGCACCGAAGCACGCTGAGCAGCATTTCCTGACCGTATCCCTCTCCCAAACTTGGGGGGAACAAAAAGTGGCATACACATAAAAACTCGTAGGTCCGCGCGGATTTCTCGGATCGGCGCTGGACCCCCCTCCCTGGCGCGCGGAGCGCGCCAGGGGCGGCGCCGGAGGCGCCGCCGGGGGGCCCCAGCGCCGATCCGAGAAATCCGCGCGGACCTTCGAGTTTTTATGTGTATGTCACTTTGTGTTCCCCGAGAGCTTGTCCTCGCCCTGCCTTCGTCCTGCACCAGGTGGAGGCGGTGAAGAGGCTCATCGCCTCGGAGGACGCGAAGCGCGTCAAGGAGGGTGCCCCCTCCCGCCGGCGCGCGGGCCTGCCCGCCCCCCGCCCCCCGCCCTCTAGCAGCCGCTCGCCGCTCTCGCGGCCTCTCCGACATCTCTCTCTCTCTCTCTCTCTTTCTCTTTCTCTCTTTATTTGTCTCTCTCTCTCTCTCTTTCTCTCTCTTTCTCTCTCTCTCTCTTTCTCTCTTCCTCTCTCTCGCTCTGTCTCTCTCTCTCTCTCTGTCTCTCCCTCTTTCTCTCTCTCTCTCTCTCTTTTTTTCTCTCTCTCTCTCTCTCTGTCTCTGTCTTTATGTCTCTTTCTCTCTTTCTCTCTCTCTCTGTCTCTCTCTCTCTCTGTCTCTCCCTCTCTTGTTCTCTCTCTCTCTATCTCTCTCTCTCTCTCCCTCCCTCGCCCCACGCAGGGGGAGTCGGAGGAAGATGGGGGGGGGAGGAGGAAGACGAGGAGGGGGGGAGGAAGTGACAGGAGGAGGAAGGCGGAGGAGGAGGAGGAGGAGGAGGAAGCCACTGGCTGAGGAGCGGGGGGGCCGCCGCTCCCGCCCGCCGCCGCGCAGGGGCACCGTCGTCGCCCCCTCGCCGCCGCGGCGGCCTCCCCCCAACGGCCAGGGCTCAGGCGCGCCGCCCGAGCCGCAGGACAGCGGCCGCGGAGGCCGCGACCAGCCGCAGCCACGCCCAAGGAGGGCGCCTGGCATCGAAGAGCACGTGAGCGTCGTGCACAAACTCGTGTGCTACTACGCCTCGCAGCAGCGCAGGACCTCGTGGGGAACCACCACAGCGCGCAGCAGCCCCAGCGCCACCAGCAGCACGCCATGGAGCAGAACTGGAAGCAGCAGCGCGACGCCTCGAGGGAAAGGTGGTCAGGAGCAGGGACCACACACCTCGAGGCGTCGCGGCGCGGCCCTGGGAAAAGGTGGACAGGAGCAGGGTCCACAGCCCAGGCGCAGCGCCAGCGCAGACGCAGCAGCAGTGCCAATGACTGGACTGGCGACTACGGAGCCATCGGAGGGCGGCCCTGGGAGTGGGCCCTCGGGGATGGCCATCAGCACAACTCTCAGAAGAGGCAGCACAGTCAGCAGCAGCAGCAGCAGCAGCCTCAGACCCACAAGCACCACCACCAGCCAGCCCAGCACCAACACCAGCAAAAGCACCCACAGCACCAGCAGCGAAGTGACAGCGACCAGCACTGGAAGCACAGCGCGCCATGGAGGAGCGCCTCAGCCAGAAGGAGAAGCAGCAGGCGCAGAAGAAGGGACCAGCTCGACACACCAGCCTCAGCCTACATTGGCAGCTTCCAGTACAGCCCCCAGCAAAAGGCAGTCCTGGACAGCATCACGCCAGTCTCCTTCGCCGTCGCGATGGAGCACGAGAGCTGGTCCGCACCGCCAGACGACGAGGAGATGAGGTTCGTGTGGTACAAGACGAAGTGCCACAGGCTGGGATGCCTCTCCGAGAACATCGCTGGCGCTAGGCTGGCGGGCTTGTGCACATCCAGCCTCGAGCAGGAAGCGGCGATCACCGCCGCGAACATCTCCTTCGCCCTGCCCCACAAAGAGCGCATGAAGCAGCTCAGGGCTACGCTGGAAAAGCTGGAGGAGGAGCATGCCGAGATGGAGAAGCGGCTCAGCAAGATGCTCGACCAGGAGGCGGCGGCCGCCAGAACCATCAGGGTCTACAAGACCCTGATGAGGGAAACCAGAGATCAAATGGCAAAGTCGGCGGGCGTAAAGGAGGAATCGTCAGAGGAAGAGGGGGGCCATGATCCCACCAGAGGACGCACGCCACGCCCGGCTGCGAGGAGGAGGCGCGATCCAACTGCAGCTCTAGCGGCACCAGCCACAGCTCAGCCAGCCACAGCTCAGCCAGCCACAGCAGCTCAGCAGCCACGACCAGCCCCAGCAGCACCAGACGAGATCAAAGACGCCATCAGGAGACTGACCGAGAGGCTCGACTCGCAGCAGAGAAAGGAACAGCCGCAAAGCGACCTGCTGGCACAAGCAGAGCTCAAGCACAAAAGCGAGCTGAAGGCCTACGAGCAGACCATGGCGCAAAAGATGTACCACACGACCGAAGTGCAGCTGGCCAAGCAGGAGGAGTGGCACACATGGGAGGTTAACGCGCTCAAGCGGCACCGCAACGCCAAGCTGGAGGAGGAGGAAGCGAAAGCATACGAGGCACAAAGAGGCACCCAGAGGACACAGGAGGAAAGGGCCAAAGGGATGCTCGTGGACTTGCAAATGCATCTTGAGTTGGAAAAGAAGACACTACGCGAGGAGATGCACAAGGAAGACCAGAGAAGAGCAGCCATCTACACGCAGCAGGTCCAGAAGGCCAGGCAGGAAGAGCAAGCTGTGAGACAGATGGCGGCTCAGGAGGCCCAGTGGTGCAAGATGGCGCAGGAGCACAATGAAAAGGCGACGCAGGAGATGGCGGAGGCGGAGTACCAGGAGCGCTGCGCCCGTCGCAGCGCTTACAAGGAGGAGGAGCTGCGGATCGCAGTGAACTACCAGCAGATGGCCTACGAGCACCAGGAAGAAGCCAACAGGCGCGAAGCGAGGCGGGTCGTCCTGAACCTGGAGCACGCAGCCATTCAGGCGAAGGCATACGAGATGCAACACGAGCAGGAAAAGTACCTGGAGCGCGTCGGGGAGCACCAGGAGGCGGTGGACAAAGCCCAAAGGATGGAGGAGGTGGCGCTGCAGCGACAAGCAGCGGCCACAAGCGAGCTCCAGGCACTACAGCATCAGCAGGAGATGGAGAACCAAGTGGCGCAGCAGTACCACAGCACTCTGCAGCACCAGCACCAGCAGGAGATGCAGGCCGTGGCGCAGCACTACGCCCACAACCAGTACATGAGCGACGCACAGAGGCAGCAGCAACTACAAGACCTCCGACGCGCACATGATTTGCAAACGGCAGGACTCCAGAACGCACTGCGGGGCGCCTGGGGAGCAGGAGGACAAGTGGACGAGGACCTGCTACTCGACATGACGGACGACCTCATGGGAGTCCCAGTCACGAGTGAGCGCGACCAAGGCATGGCGGAGCAGGAGGGCGCGTACCAGAGGGAGCAACTGGAGGCAGACTTACTTCGGCTACTACCTAGCCAGTACGAACTTCCACATCCAGAACTACCGCCGTACCTCGAGGAGCTGGCCGAGGTGGGATTTGGAGAGAGGTCTCATGCATCGTCGATGCCAACGCCAGAGGAGCCTACCCCCTCGTCGTGCGACGACCTCAGCTTCCAGGACCAAAGCTTCGTGCCGAGGACATCCGCCGAAGAGTGTCCGCTACCGCCACCGCCACCTCAGCAGCGCCCGCACATCGAGGGGCACACCAGCGTCGGCTCAGTCTTGCACTCGGGGCTGCTCGACGTACGGGCGAGCAGCGACTGTGTCCCAATTGGCGAATCCGACGACGCCGACCTGCAGGACGAAGAGACGAAGATCCGCCAAGGCCTGCGCAAGGAGAAGGAGGACGAAGCCCCGGCAGACCTCGCCTCACTCTCACCAACGTTACCAGCCGACTCACCCATCCCGACAGAACAGCCCACGCCAAGACACATACTTTTTCCGCCCGTCACGCCTCTCACGCCAAACAAGACCCCACAACAGCGATCACAGCCAGCCAAAACCCCCATGACGACGCTGTTCATCGACCTCAGCCGCGACGAGGAGGCTTGCCCCAGCACGCCTCCACGGATGCCGATTGAGGACATCGCGCCCACCGTGCCACACGAGCCACGGCTGCCACCACCGCGATTCCACTTGGGCACGCCAGAGAGAACGAGCTCGGCACCTCCATGCAGAGGTAACCTGAAGCAGCCAAGGGATCCCAGGAGGGCGAGGAGCCAGCCGAAAAAGGTCAGGATCTGCGACGCGGACGATGGCTTCGCGGACCCAGGCGACAGGGTGGCATCCCTCATCGAGAGCGGCGAGAGCGACCTCGACGGGGGTCGACTGTCAAAAAACTGAGTTGGAGCACGCAGGCTGGGGGGCAACTGGCCCAGACCTGCGCCCAGACAGCCACACCAGAAGACATCGGGGATATTGGGCCCAGACTCAGAGACCCGTGCGGTGACGAGCCTACGCCCAACGACCCCCACCCACGGCCCCTGGCCGCGCGCACACGATCGCACCTAGCTTCCATCACACTACATAGTTACGTCCAAGCCGATGCGAGCCTGGGGGATGCCGCATCCGCTTCAAACCACCAACGCTCTACTAGGGAGCCCCGACTCAAAAGACGCAGCAGACGAACCACCTGCATTACTAGCTCCCTAGACGCCGCAACTGTGGGCAAGTGTGGGGACCACCCACAGGACGGCGACACCAAGTTTGAGCGCTCCAATCGCGGACCTGAGCGACTCCCTCAGGCCGCGATCCCCACTGCCATCTGGGTCCAGGCAGGCAACCAGCACCGCGACGGGGCGAGGCTGCAGCAAGAGTGGGAGAGCTACTCGGGCAGCCAGCCGCAGTGCCAACAGCGTGGACCAAGGCGACACCCCTTGGCCACGCCAGGATCGACACCCCACTTCGCGGGAGCCGCGGCGGCCCATGCGGCGTCGCAACCCCGGCAGCACAGCCGCGCGAAGGAGGGCCCAGGCAGCAGGTCGAGACTATCAGATCTATCACATCTGGAGGTCTCCCAGCGCCGGGTACTCTGGGAGCATCCCACACTTGCAGTCGACGGAGCCTGGCCCTCTCGCCAACCTCTCGACACCAGCCACTTGGGCTCGCAAGCAGACCACATGGCAAGCATAAGGACCCATAGGGGGCTGGCTAGTCCACCAGCGACAGCCAAATTAAATGCACATACCACGACACAACCAAGCACTGACCACACCCGACAGATACAGCATGGACCCATACAAGCCTACGAGCTAGAGCAAATACAGGATACATACCTCGACAGCAACGGCATCAGCCCAACGCCAGCAGAATCGCACCGCAATGACGTCACAGCGGTTGCAAAAGCAAGAAGAGTGGCGAGGCGCAAAAGAGTACTCAGAC